ATTGTATTGGGTACTCAACTGGCTCTGTCTATAACAAGGGGAAAGTGTGAAAATGATTATTTCCAGAATAGAGTGTTGCTTTATTTTGAACTCCTTTAGGTAGATGCAGTACTGTCCTTTTGAGGATTATCACTAAGATTTACATATTAGATCAGTTACTCTTTTTCCTTTTATGTGAATTAAGTCATACTGCATTCTTAAATTAGATTTTGATTATATGCATGGATATATATATATTCAACAAAAATTTGAATATTTATATACTATGAGTGTAGGCAAAGATGATCAAGGCATGGTAGGAGGGTCATGGTTTCTGGGAACTTTTTTGTTAGGAATAATTTTTAGTGTGGAAAATTTTAAAAATTTAGATTCTTTCTTAAACCTATCCCATTACCTATCCTTTATGATTTTTCTTGATATTATCATCACTGGAGCATTTATCAAATTGATTTTTGCAGGGGGGTTATACTTTGCCTAATGTACAAAAAATAGCTTCACAGATATAGTGTAACTTATTTTTTAAGTTAGACAACTTTGAAGGTGTACAAAAAAAATAACCTAGTAGACCATTGGACACTCAGACTAGTTTCTTGCCGAAAGATGAGGCGTCTGTCCACAACTTAGTACTTTGTCACATTTATTTCAATAGAAAATGCATATTAGACAGAAGGTGGCAAAGTTGAAAGTTTAACCAATACCAATTGTATTCTTAACAAGGAAGCTTTAGAAGCACTCTAGATGTGGGAAGTGAGGTATAGGGCATTGGATAAGGGTCCTAGTGAGGTGATCTGGAGTACCTGAGATCTAGTATTGGATGAAAAGCCACTGTGCTACTTCAGAAAGGAAGAGAGCAACACAGTTAAAATAATCAATGACCAGCACAAGCTTGGTAGCGATGCTCAGAGCAAGCTTTCTGCGGGCAGTGTTGGTGGCCGGAACTTGGCTGAGGAATAGATTGTGATAATCTAGTGAGAGATGGCGAGGTCTTGATGAAGGAAGTGGCAGTAGGACCACAGAGAGTGTGCAGACAGAAGTGTTCTGGGAGAGAGTTTAACTTAGGTATTTGGGAATGAAAGCCTTGCCAAGTATGATATGTTTGATCCAAGTTGGAGAAGCCCTGTACTTACCGACAGAACTTCAGAGTAGGAGGATAGGAAAACTCAGCTGTTCAGAAGTTCATCACTCATTTTCTCCTTTATCAGAAGCTGTCTTGCTCCTTTCTTAGGGTCATTTTGATCATCATCAAGCCTCTCAAAAAATTTGACATCCTCGAGTATACAGAAAATCCATTAAATTAATTAAATGGAAAAAACACAATTGCCCTATGAAAAGTTCCTTTTGTTTGTTTTGATCCTCTAGGGAAATGCTTCCTGTTGCAGTTCTTACGGTTCTTTAGCTACACACTGAAGAATAACTAGGGTGCGGTGGTTCCGCTCCCCTCCACTCCTTCTCCACCACAACCTGGGCACTAATATAACATCGTTACTTGGTTAGCTTTTGCCTCTGCAAAAATTCTCCTCCCTCTTCTTAACAGCCTCCATGCCAAAGGACAGTGCAAAGCATTCTTCCTTGCAATAGATGCTAATTGTGTTCTGCGTTGGGATCTTGCTGTCATAGCCACAGTCGCTGTGCCATCGTGTTGGGAGGCCCGGGTCACAGTAGTTACTGTGCAGAGTAATGAATGCTGGTTAGCTGTGATGCGTTGTCGCCTGCATCCGTGGGTGAGAACACGCAGTCACTGCAATTCGCCTGGCGAGTGATCATATTGGTGTAACATAACATCAACTGTTAAGCAAGTCAGCTGTCACAAAGAACTATTGGTTTTTTTTATTTTTTAATATAGAATTTTTAATGAGAAACTTTGAGTTATAGAGATTGAAGGTGTGAGAGGAGCTACCTGGTGTGTGTTGCATATTAACCCCTACTTCTCAGTGTGTTTTGGGATCAGGTTTACATATCTGGTGGTTTAGGGAAGGGGGTGCCAGGTCTGCACGTCTCTGCTCTGGCACAGATGGGGAATTGCGTGTTGGATAAGTGACGTGACTGGTGTCAACTAGGAATGAGGCTTCCTGGCAGTGACCCCTTCGTGAAACTTGTGGATTCTGAAAGCAGAATCACTGTGAATGTAGTTTCCTCAACTAGTTCTTCCATCTGCATAAGGAAAAGGTTATTTCTTCAGTAGTTGTTTGAATGGGATGGTGCTGTTTCTCAAGAATTCTTGCTGAAGTAACAGGAAGCATTTGCTCGTATAAATAACCGTGGTGCTAATATGCAAGGACCTTACCAGTCTTAGGATTGGAGCTTGTTACTTTTTTGCCTGCCCACAGCCCACAGTTTCTTCCTCTCCAACCCCACTGCCCATCTTTGAACACTTTTTAGCTATTTGCTCATTAGCATCTCTCATTAAAAGTGTCCCCGGAGTGCATTTCAAAGCAGTTCTTTTTACACTTGTTTCTTCAAGTTCTGTCGAATTTCCAGCAAATGTAACGAAGTTATTGCTCAAAGTGAAACTTAACCTAATTTATACTTTTCATCTATTCCCTCCTGTCCTGCTTTAGCACATGTCTAAATGATTACTTTTTAGAAAAGTGGATTTTGACTAGCACAGTAATTTGTATGTCATGAAGAGAGAGGAAGTGATTTTAGGTGTGACTTGAAGTTTTTTGTTTTTTGTTTTTTGTTTTTTTTTTTTTTTTTACAATTTAGGGTCTTTTTATGATCCCAAGATCCAAGGGGCTGGTAATTTTGGAGGAGGGAAATATGTTAATTAGGACAGGAGAGATAATGTGCAATTAGATCATCTGCCAATGCAGGTAAAATTCCTTTTTGTTCCTTATTTTACAGTATTAAATTAATAATAGGTATAATCCTACCATTAAAAGTTACCTAAATAACACATGTTCAATGCAGAAAATTTGGAAAACATTTTTTATAAAGAAAAAATCCAGCAGATTATCAGTTACCTCTATGCCTGCCACCTGAAATAACTATCACTAAGTTTTGGTGTATATATACCCTTCTGTGATTTTTGTAGATCATTTTTCCATAAAGCTTGTTTTGGACTCAAGCAGAGATGCAGTAAGATACAGTAGTCATTTTAAGTTTCTTCCATAATCCAAGAACAAGTTTCCATAATAGTTCTTTGATCAACATTTATTAATATTAAATGGGTTGAAAATAAAACTTAGGAAAAAAATAGGACTATGAACAGTTAATATTAAGAACTATTTCCCATAATTCTAAAGATAAGTTTCCTTGAGTTTTTCTTTTGACATTAACATTTTATGTTATTAAAACAGTTAAATTTTTGTGCAGAAATAGAAAACATTCGTAATGAGGAAATTAAAAACAACTTTTCACTGTTATATAGACATACTGACTGTAATCAAGGTGGCACTGAGTGAATGGTTCTTAATGAAGGTAGAAATAGGGCCCTGCTTCACAAATAGCCCGGTTTTACGTATGTTTTCCCTTAGATAAGTGAGAGCCAGTTAAGAATGAAAAGTTGCTTTGTCTCTTCATTTTGTTAACCTCTTCCCTTTCTCCCTCTGACAAGTCAATGTCTGCTTCTGTATAGCTAACCGCTGCTGTTTATTTTCTGCTTCTGTGACAGCTAGCCGATGGCGGAGTCTCTTCCCTTCAAATGTCTCACTGGCTTTTCCTTATAGCCCTGTGGCAAGACTCAGCCCTTATAGCAATGGCATTAATACTCCCAGCTTCTCTAAAACCTCAAATAAAGCAATACTAACACCTGAAAGAACAGGTAATATTTCAACTTCTCGTCTAGCGGCTTGCTTTGTAAATCAGTCACTAAACACAGCTTAAATATCCACCTTTCATTGAAAAGCTTGAGGGTAATCTTACTTATCACAATGGGGAGTCTGCTGCACACTTACTTTGGGTATGACAAAGGCTAGGGTTAATTTGTACTTTAACGTCATTAATCTGCTCTCAGTTGTGTACAGTAGGCAGCCTTCACTCTTGATCAAATGCATATATATATAATTATGTGTTTCCAAATGCATAATGTGCTTTTAAAATTAAATGTTGAACAAAATAAAGGTCTTTATGATTTTCATTATGATTGAAGATTATCAGACTTTTATTATATCTTGCTGTTTAAAAAATTGTTGGTGCTTTTTATTAAGTCAGGGCTGTGTAGAAAGGATAGTCATAGTAGCTTTTTATGAGATGACGGTCTCATAGTTGTCTCAGCATTGGTGATTCCATCCCTGTAATTTTCTCCCTTCAGCCCTTTCTTCCTTGGTTCTCCTATCTCAAGCCATTACTTTCTCACTTTCATGAGTGACTACAAGTCTCCTGTGACGATTCTAAATTATGAAGGTTTTGTATGTGCTTCCCTGTATGGATGTGTGCCTTTTATGTGTGATATTCTTATCCATTTATAGCACTGCTGTTTGTACCTGTTTAAAAAGTGGACCAGATTAAAATTTAGTTTAAAATATATAATCCATTACTACCAGAGACAAGCATGTCTGATTATTCATTGAAAGTGTACAGGATATGTATTCTTATACCATGCCTTTAGATATATACTTAAGCTAATGGGATGCAGATTTAGCATTATTGATTTTTCTTGTCTTACGGTGGTAAAAAAAAAAACATATAACATGAAATCTACTAAAATCTACCTTTTCAACAATTTTTTTAGTGTACAGCAGAGTGGATTTTTGAATTATGAAAAGTGAATTTGAGAAAACAAAACAAGTGGTTTTGTATATATGAATTATGAACACGTGAAGACGTGCATACTGTCTTGCCATTCTCCTGTCATAGTGGTGTGTTGGTTGTTTTTTGGTGACTTAATGAAAACAGGACGAGTATAGATGGATCTTGTTTTTTTTTTAATCCATTCAGCCACTCTGTGCCTTTTGATTGGAGAATGCCTTGAAGTGCTGACTGTTGATATGTGAACTGTAAAGCACATGCAGATAGCAGTTCTTTAGACTAAGTAACAAACACGTTTCCCTTGTTTTTAGGTTACACATCCAGGGGCTCCCCTCTCAGTCCCCAGTCATCCGTAGACAGTGAGCTGAGTACTTCAGAGCTGGAGGATGATTCTATCTCCATGGGATATAAGTTACAGGACCTCACTGATGTTCAGATCATGGCTCGTCTGCAAGAAGAAAGTAGGTTCCTCTTATTTTTTTTTTTAAATTAATTAATTAATTTTTGGCTGCGTTGGGTCTTCTTTTCTGTGCGAGGGCTTTCTCTAGTTGTGGCGAGCGGGGGCCACTCTTCATCGTGGTGCGCGGGCCTCTCACTGTCGCAGCCTCTCTTGTCGCGGAGCACAGGCTCCAGACGCGCAGGCTCAGTAGTTGTGGCTCACGGGCCCAGTTGCTCCGCGGCATGTGGGATCTTTCCAGACCAGGGCTCGAACCCGTGTCTCCTGCATTGGCAGGCAGATTCTCAACCACTGCGCCACCGGGGAAGCCCCGGTTCCTCCTTTTAAACTAGAAAACGTTTTAAACTAGAGGCTTCTACTTGAAATCTAAGGGGGTGGGGAGGTTTCAGGCATTTCTCCCCAGGTAATGGGCAAACAATTCTATTCTTTCTCTCATCCCATCCTACTTTGTAGGTGGCGCAATTAAATGTTTCTCACAGTGTCATGACCATTGTAAAATATTAGGACATACTCTGGGCAAAATACATTGATGTAAATCACCACCAGTGTAGCCACTGTGGAAACAGTTTGCCAGTTTCTTAGAGAACTAAACATGTGGTTTCCATAAGGCCCAGCACATTGTATTCTTGGGCATTTATTCCCAGGGCAATGGAAACTTGTGTTCAGAAACACAGAAACCTGTATATGAATGTTCATAGCACTTTATTTATAATAATAGCCAAAAACCAGAATGAGTTCAGATGTCCTTCAGTAGGTGAGTGGTTAATCAAGCTGGGGGTACCTCCATACTGTGGAGTACTACTCAGCAAGAAAAAAGAGTAAATTTTGATAGACATTACCATCTTGGATGAATCTCCAGGGAATTATGCTGAGTGAAAAAGATGATCTCAGGAGATTTCATACTGTATAATTCCATTTATATAACATTTTGGAATGACAACATTTTAGAAATGGATGACAGATTAGTGGTTGCCAGGGCTTAGGGATAGGGCGTGGGCTCTCAGGAGGGAGGTAGATGTGGTTATAAAGGCGCAACACGAATGATTTAGGGAGCTGCTCTGTTTTTGACTGTGGTGGTAGGTATATGATCCTACAGGTGATAAAATTGTATAGAATTTAATACTAACACATGTACACATATAAAAGTAATACTGGAGAATCTAAATCAGATGGGTTTATATAAGTGCCGATATCATAGTTGTCCTGTTATTCTATGATTTTGCAAAATGATACCATCGAGGGAAACTGGACAGAGTACACAGAAGATCTCTATTATTCCCAGAACTGCATGTGAGTGTGTAGTTATCTTAATAAAAATTCAATTAAACATGCATTAATGCATTCTCAGATGTAAATTATTAGATATAGAATGGTTAAACAACAAGGTTCTACTGTATGGCACAGGGAACTAAATATAGTATCCTGAGACAAACCATAATGGAAAAGAATATAAAAAATGATGTGTATATATATATATATATATATATATATATATGTATAACTGAATAACTGCTGTACAGCAGAAATTAACAAAACATGGTAAGTCAACTATACTTCCATAAAAACTGTACTTCTCAAGATACATAGTTATTGAAGGAGAGATAATTGGAAATGTTATTTCCAATAACACTGAGTTATTACTGGTTCTGCAATAAGTTTACAACAATTAATCAGAGGGTGAACTACTTCAAGGGTATTAATGGTATCAAAAGGCAAAGAAGGTGTAGATCACAGAACTAGGCTAAGCTTATTTTGGGATTATCTTCTGAGGCCAACATAAGTAGAAACAGCCAAGTATCATTTAAGCATAACAATTTCCTGCTTTCAGAATTGGGCAAGGCTACTATGAGAACGATTGTAATGCTTATGCAAGATTTAATAAGATACATTTTGAGAGGAAAAACGATTATTTTACATTGTTATTTAGTAACAGTACACTAACAGTAACTCTTTCTAAAAAAATGTATGGCTGAAAGATTGGATGTCAGTCTCGGAAGTTAAGTAGTCAGTCAGGCATAGACTACTTTAAAAAAAGTTGTGGGTTGGGCTTCCCTGGTGGTGCAGTGGTTGAGAGTCCGCCTGCCGATGCAGGGGACGCGGGTTTGTGCCCCGGTCCGGGAAGATCCCACATGCCGCGGAGCGGCTGGACCCGTGAGCCATGGCCGCTGGGCCTGTGCCTCCGGAGCCTGTGCTCCGCAATGGGAGAGGCCACAACAGTGAGAGGCCTGCGTACCGCAAAAAAAAAAAAAAAAAAAAAAAAAAAAGGTGTGGGTTCGCAACGAGATAACTAGAAGCTTCCAGATGATGATGAATAGTGTCTCCAAAGTAGCCTTCCTAAGTATCTCTCCAGATTCCAGAGGGAATGGCTCAGGGAAATCGACAGATACTGATTGATGAACTGTAGCGGTATATTTAATCTTCACTGGAATTGGGGCAATCTTTTTCCAGAACAGAATAGTCCAGTATTAGCTGTCTGTTTGGTAGGTAAACGTGTCTGTTTTCTTGGGATTTAATAAACTAAGAACGAGATAGTGGGTCTCCACTTGAATCACTTGCTTGACACAAATTTCCCTCAAATATTTGATGAATTGGAACTTAATAATTAAGCCAGATTGAAATGCCTCATAAGGTAAAATACCAGTCCCTGTTGTTCCGTAGGTCTCAGGCAAGATTATGCTTCTACTTCAGCATCTGTGTCGAGACCTAGTTCCAGTGTGTCACTGAATTCAGGAAAAAAAGGGACATGCAGTGATCAAGAATACGATCGATTCAGCCTGGAGGACGAGGAGGAATTTGATCACCTGCCACCACCTCAGCCTCGTCTTCCAAGATGCTCACCTTTCCAAAGAGGAATCCCCCATTCACAGACTTTCTCCAGCATTCGGGAGTGTAGGAGGAGCCCCGGGTCCCAGTATTTTCCTTCGAATAATTACCAGCAGCAACAGTATTATTCACCTCAAGCCCAAACTCCAGATCAGCAACCAAATAGGACCAATGGAGGTAAGTTGTATGCACCTTTGGTATTCGATGTGCTTTGATCTTTCATACGTGGTCAAGAAATGGTTTTAAGGTCAATATAAATAACTGGTAAATGTTTCCAAGACTTATTAAGTACATCCTTAAGACCTTATCAGTTTGGTTGGTGTACATTTAAATCTATAATTGACCAGCTTCTGATTATGTGTCCCAGATTTATAGCTTCAGGAAAACCATTGTGAGGTACCAGACTGAGTCAGAAATGGGGGAGCATCTTCGTGTTGTGGCTGGTAAAGCTGTAGGACAGCAGGGCTGTGGAAGTTGAGGAGTTCCTAGTTCCATGGAGTCGGAGGCACGGAGCCGCATCTTCTCTCATCTTTCTTAAAACCCCCCATCTCTGACGGCCTGCTCCTAGCCCAGAGTGATGGATGGGAAGTGTGGACCCTGGTGCTTGGAGAGGATGCTGCTGTGCACATCGAGATTTAGGGGAAGTTTGGGATGTGTCTTTCCCTCTGGTGTCCTGACATCTAGAATTAAGATCTGTGCAGCAGTGGGACTATGGAAGCTGATATTTGGCGTGGTAACAGCAAGTTGATTTGTCCTGATGGCAGCACAGTGGGTTGGAATATGTGTCGTTCTTTTTTTGTAATTTTTTCTATTTCCCTCTTCATCATTTATCTTCCTTCCCCACTCCCAGGAGTTATAGATCTTGACTTACAAGAACTATAGGGAGAATAATCATGTGATGTTCTAAGCCTGGTATGTTTTTGCACTGATGATCAGTGTGACCCTCATACACAAAGCCTGTAGAGTATGGAGAAACCAACCATATTTATAGAGTTATAGCTTTTAATTATTATACAGCAGCATTTTCTCAAACCTGGGCTCAGAAATGATCCAACAAATTATTTTAAAATATTGCAAGGCCAAATACAAATCATACTAGTCATCACCTGCTATCATGTACTTAGTGTTTACTTTTTCTTCCTCTGCACTTGTATTACTCATGCTAATTGAGAGACCATTTGAAAATATTTAAGGTTTTATAGTCAGAACTTCTCTCTTTTTTAATACCTTCAGATTTCAAATTTAAAAGAAAACAGTGGCAGGTAAAGTGACTGCCACTAGTGAGTAATTTATTAAAGCCCGTAATATCGAAGACAATATTTTATGTGCTTAACGAAAATTACGGCATTATTAAAACGGCGGGAGAGGGCACCGAGTTGTTTCTGCAAAGGCTTTTTTTGTCAAGTGTCTTAGAGCATCACATCCTGCCTGTCAAGCAGATGCTCCCTCTGCATCTTGATTAGCTGTCAGTGGGATCATTGTCCTACCTTAGAAAAGTGTATTAACTTACATTCAACATCATTATGAAAAGGGTTAGGTGTCCCTAAATCTGTGTTATGATGGTTCCTGTTAGGAAAGTGGAAATATTTCTTAGCCTGGTGTCTGACTGTGGTAGTTTTATTTCTCTAAAAGGTCAGGTCTCCACACGCAAAGGAAAATGGAATACAACAGCAGTTCTCTGGATTGAACTTCTGACTAATTACCTTAATGGCTGAGTACACAGGCTCTGAAGGCCAGTACGTGCTGAGTTCCCCTCCTAGCCTACCACTTATACCTTTCCCAGGCTTCTCATGCCTCTGAGCTCTCACTTATTTGGCTACAAAATGTAAACAAATAATATCCCTTTCTTACAAAACTTAGGTATAATTGGACATCAAATCATCTAGTACACGTTCTCCTTTATGTAACATGTAATCCTTTAACCTAAGTTTGTCATAAGGAATAAATGAAATAATGACCATCCCATTGCCTGGAGTAAAAACGCTGGAAAAGTTCAAAGTGCTGAAAAAGTAAAGGTGGCCTCCCCAACCCCACTGTTTTTTTAAACTTTTATTAACGTGGCTCAGATATCTGAGCCTTCATTTGCTACCAGAGGATTATTTGAACAAAATTGTGGAATGAGAGTCGTAACTTTGAAACCAATCTCTCAAATATTTTTCTAAATTACTAAAATAATATGGATAGAAGAAAATAAATAAAATAGAAGTGCGTGTTAATATTTCCTACTTCCATAGCTCCTACATTGCCTGGTTTCCAAAGGGATGGCTCTTGAAAGTTCTTGCTATATTTCTGGGGATCATAGGATTAAAAGAAGCATACAGCAGTCCACTCTTTTTTTTTTTTTTTTTTTTTTTGCGGTACACGGGCCTCCCACTGTTGTGGCCTCTCCCGTTGGGGAGCACAGGCTCCGGATGCACAGGCTCAGCGGCCATGGCTCACGGGCCCAGCCGCTCTGCGGCACGTGGGATCTTCCCGGACCGGGGCACGAACCCGTGTCCCCTGCATCGGCAGGCGGACTCTCAACCACTGCGCCACCAGGGACGACCCCCGCAGTCCACTCTTACCTGTGACTTCAGTTACCCATGGCCAACTGCAGTCTGAAAATGTTAAATTACAGAAATAAACAATTCGTAAGTTTTAAACTGTGCATTGTCATGAGTCGTATGAGGAAATCTGTGCCTTCCTGCTCTGTCCTACCTGGGACGTGAATCATCCCTTGGTCCTGTGTATCCACGCTGTGTGTGCTTCCTGCCTGTCAGCGCCTGTATAGGAAGAACATTGTATATATAAGGTTCTGTACTATGGATGGCTACAGGCACCTGCTGAGGGTCTTGGGATGTATCCCCTGCCCATAAGGTGGGGCAGGGTAGGGCTACTGTATTTGGATAGTTTGCCAGGTATAAGTGATTAAAGCTTGCAGAACATTTGCTAACTGTGATTTTTAGGGTATGGCAGGGGTTATCAGTGGCATGGTGTAATCAGTGTTAGCCTGAGGACCTCCCCTGAACCCTGTATTTACTGCAAGTCTAGATTTAGATGTTTGGTGGGTAGCTGGCTACTGCCTTTATTCCTTAAAGGATTCCTAAAGATTGATAGCAGAAGAAAAGATTGAGAAACAATGGTCTAGACTATAACCCCACTGAGAGTCGGGAACTCCCTTGTCTAACACACTGTATAGTATATATACACAGGAAATACTAGTTCATTCATTCATTCCACAAAGTGGGGAAGGGTGTCCAAGTGAAAGGACCAGCACACTCACGGGTACAAGAGAGTGTGAAGTATTTGGAAATTCCGTTCTCCAGTGTGCTTGGCAAGTAGGCTGTGTGGCGAGGGCAGCAGCAGATGAGGCTAGAGGTGGCTGCAGAGCCTGTATCTTAGAAGGATCTTGTCTCAGCCCAGGAGCTTGGGCTTTCAGAGGAAGGGGAGGGAGAGTGATTGGAGGGTTTTTAGCAAGTGGCTGGCTAGAAGTCACTGGCTGTATGGAAGATGGGGAGGAACAAGACAGGGTGTACAGAGACCAATTAAGAGGAAAATTTTGTGAAAATGTGGATGACAACGAGGTCTAAACGAGGTGGTAGTGGGAGATTTGTTAAATATTTATGAGGCAGAATTGAGAGGACTTGGGAGTCGAGGGTGAAGAAGGGAGGTGAAACTTGGAAGACTCCGCCGCATTTTGGATTAGGTGACTTGATGAGTAGGGCTATAATCAAGGGATCTAAGTGATGCAGAAGGAGCTGTGTGTGAAGGGGAGAAAAATGAATCTGGTTTTGTACTTGAATGGGTTTTTACTGAGTATTCAGATGTATCCTTTGTTTTCTGAGCTTGAGTGACCTGATATGTGTACTTTAGTTTGGTGGGGGTTGGGGGGTGTATTAAAAAGAAAACTGTCTACATGGTAGAGTTGCCCTCTTGTGGCTGAATTCAAATCTCAGCAGCACTGAGGTCTGTGCGTGACTGACTCTCTGCTGCCCCTTAGTGGCGGAAGATGTACTCAGCAAGGAAAAAGAAAGGGAAGCATTTTTTCAAGTCTCCAAAGGTTTGGTGGTGTACTCATGCCCCTTAAAACTTTCCAGAAGTTAATGTGGTCATGTTGATGTGATGAGTGGATATGTCAAAACATCTCAAGTTAGAATTTTAAGAATTTCTTCCTTTTTTGATATGCTAGCAAAAGATTCAGTAATTGCTGTTTTGACACTTCTAGGTTTTTTTTTATTATTATTATTAACATGTAACAATTCCTAGCTTTTTTTTTTTTTTAAACTATAAGATTATTTTTTATCCTCACTTCGATTCAGTTTTATCCACTTATTGTATAGGAACAAACAGCTAATTGATTACCTAATTCCTCCCTCTTTTTATAGAACAAGTGCTTTCCTTTAGCAGTCTGTTTGGTGGAACCTTTCTGGAGACATGGAGTGTGTTTGTCTCTACCGGGGGTAATTAATTAGCTTGCTAGAGTTCATAACACACGTGATAATTTCTGTCTGTCATTGAACAAGACATGATTTCTATTTGTATTTAATTTTGAAAGCTAGTGTTTTAATTGGCATAAAAGTTGTGATTTTTAACTTAGTAAAATTCTTTTCTAGATAAACTCCGAAGAAGTATGCCTAATCTAGCTCGGATGCCAAGTACAACCGCTGTTAGTAGCAATGGTAGTTCTCCAGTCACCGTGCGGAATAGTCAGAGTTTTGACTCAAGCTTGCATGGAGCTGCAAATGGAATTTCAAGAATACAGTCTTGTAGTACGTATGACAATATTTTTGTATGTAATTTTAATTAGTTGTAACACCATTAGGAAAATCTTACTATTTCGTTTCTTTCTCTTAAGAACACTACAGGAAACTTTTCTCCTTATGACACTTTTTTGTCTTTCGCCATGATAATTGAGTGGTATTTTCACTGGTGCCTATGTCACCAATTAATAATTAGTAAATTATATGCAATCCTTTATACCCAGGGATAGCAGTAGAAGCACTAAATGGTGATTGATTTGTTTACTCATCATACAAAAATGTTTTCTTTGCAGATCTGCCTCTTTTTAGCTGTGTACTTGATACATTTACTCTGAGGAAAGCACACTTATTCTGTCTAGCTGTTACTTTGGTCTTGTTTTTCATCCAGTCCAGAGCTTTCCCCTGGCAAATGAAGTTCTATTTTAGTGTGTCTAAAATTCCATATAGATGTGTTAGCGTACGGTATTTGTCTCTCTTTCAGACTTACTTCACTCTGTATGACAGACTCTAGGTCTATCCACCTCATTACAAATAGCTCAATTTTGTTTCTTTTTATGGCTGAGTAATATTCCATTGTATATATGTGCCATATCTTCTTTATCCATTCATCTGATGATGGACACTTAGGTTGTTTCTATCTCTGGGCTATTGCAATGAACATTTTGGTACATGACTCTTTTTGAATTACACTTTTCTCAGGGTATATGCCCAGTAGTGGGATTGCTGGGTCACACGGTAGTTCTATTTGTAGTTTTTTAAGGAACCTCCATACAGTTCTCCAGAGTGGCTGTATCAATTTACATTCCCACCAGCAGTCCAAGAGGGTTCCCTTTTCTCCACACCCTCTCCAGCATTTATTGTTTCTAGATTTTTTGATGATGGCCATCCTGACTGGTGTGAGATGATATCTCATTGTAGTTTTGATTTGCATTTCTCTAGTGATTAATGAAGTTGAGCATTCTTTCATGTGGTTGTTGGCAGTGTGTATATCTTCTTTGGGGAAATGTCTATTTAGGTCTTCTGCCCATTTTTGGATTGCGGTGTTTGTTTTTTTTGTTATTGAGCTGCATGAGCTGCTTGTAAATTTTGGAAATTAATCCTTTGTCAGTTGCTTCACTTGCAAATATTTTCTCCCATTCTGAGGGTTGTCTTTTGGTCTTGTTTATGGTTTCCTTTGCTGTGCAAAAGGTTTGAAGATTCATTAGGTCCCATTTGTTTATTATTTTTGTTTTTCTTTCCGTTTCTCTAGGAGGTGGGTCAAAAAGGAACTTGCTGTGAATTATGTCAGAGTGTTCTGCCTATGTTTTCCTCGAAGAGTTTGATAGTTTCTGGCCTTACATTTAGGTCTTTAATCCATTTTGAGCTTATTTTTGTGTGCGGTATTAGGGAGGGATCTAATCTCATACTTTTACAAGTATCTGTCCAGTTTTCCCAGCACCACTTATTGAAGAGGCTGTCCTTTCTCCACTGTACATTCCTGCCTCCTTTATCAAAGATAAGGTGACCATATGTGCGTGGGTTTATCTCTGGGCTTTCCTGTTCCATTGATCTATCTTTCTGTTTTTGTGCCAGTACCATACTGTCTTGATTACTGTAGCTTTGCAGTATAGTCTGAAGTCAGGGAGCCTGATTTCTCCAGCTCCGTTTTTCATTCTCAAGATTGCTTTGGTTATTCGGGGTCTTTTGTGTTTCCATACAAATTGTGAATTCTTTTGTTCTAGTTCTGTGAAAAATGCCAGTGGTAGTATGATAGGGATTGCATTGAATCTGTAGATTGCTTTGGGTAGTAGAGTCATTTTCACAATGTTGATTCTTCCAGTCCAAGAACATGGTATATTTCTCCATCTATTTATATCATCTTTGATTTCTTTCATCAGTGTCTTATAATTTTCTGCATAGAGGTGTTTTGTCTCCTTAGGTAGGTTTATTCCTAGATATTTTATTCTCTTTGTTGCAATGGTAAATGAGAGTGTGTTCTTGATTTCACTTTCAGATTTTTCATCATTAGTGTATAGGAATGCCAGAGATTTCTGTGCATTAATTTTTTACCCTGCTACTTTACCAAATTCATTGATTAGCTCTAGTAGTTTTCTGGCAGCATCTTTAGGATTCGGTATATATAGTATCATGTCATCTGCAAACAGTGACAGCTTTACTTCTTTTCCGATTTGGATTCCTTTTATTTCCTTTTCTTCTCTGATTGCTGTGGCTAAAACTTTCAAAACTATGTTGAATAAGAGTGGTGAGAGTGGGCAAACTTGTCTTGTTCCTGATCTTAGTGGAAATGCTTTCAGTATTTCACCATTGAGGACAATGTTGGCTGTGGGTTTGTCATATATGGCCTTTATTATGTTGAGGAAAGTTCCCTCTATGCCTACTTTCTGCAGGGTTTTTATCATAAATAGGTGTTGAATTTTGTCAAAAGCTTTCTCTGCATCTACTTAGATGATCGTTTGGTTTTTCTCCTTCAGCTGGTTGATATGGTGTATCACATTGATTGATTTCCATATATTGAAGAAGCCTTGCATTCCTGGAATAAACCCCACTTGATCATGGTGTATGATCCTTTAATGTGCTGTTGGATTCTGTTTGTTAGTATTTTGTTGAGGATTTTTGCATCTATGTTCATCAGTGATATTGGCCTGTAGTTTTCTTTCTTTGTGACATCCTTGTCTGGTTTTGGTATCAAGGTGATGGTGGCCTCGTAGAATGAATTTGGGAAGGTTCCTCCCTCTGCTATATTTTGGAGGAGTTTGAGAAGAATAGGTGTTAGCTCTTCTGTAAATGTTTGATAGAATTCGCCTGTGAAGCCATCTGGTCCTGGGCTTTTGTTTGTTGGAAGATTTTTAATCACAATTTCAATTTCAGTGTTTGTGATTGGTCTGTTCATATTTTCTATTTCTTCCTGATTCAGTCTTGGCACGTTGTGCCTTTCTAAGAATTTGTCCATTTCTTCCAGGTTGTCCGTTTTATTGGCATAGAGTTGCTTTGAGTAATCTCTCATGATCCTTTGTATTTCTGCAGTGTCAGTTGTTACGTCTCCTTTTTCATTTCTAAATCTATTGATTTGAGTTTTCTCCCTTTTTTCTTGATGAGTCTGGCTAATGGTTTATCAATTTTGTTTATCTTCTCAAAGAACCAGCTTTTAGTTTTATTGATCTTTGCTATCGTTTCCTTCATTTCTTTCTCATTTATTTCTGTTCTGATCTTTATGGTTTCTGTCCTTCTGCTAACTTTAGGGGTTTTTTGTTCTTCTTTCTCTAATTGCTTTAGGTGCAAGATTAGGTTGTTTATTCGAGATGTTTCCTGTTTCTTAAGGTGGGCTTGTATTGCTATAAACTTTTCTCTTAGAACTGCTTTTGCTGCATCCCATAGGTTTTGGGTCGTTGTGTCTCCATTGTCATTTGTTTCTAGCTATTTTTTGATTTCCTCTTTGATTTCTTCAGTGATCACTTTGTTATTAAGTAGTGTATTGTTTAGCCTCCATGTGTTTGTATTTTTTACAGATCTTTTCCTGTAATTGATATCTAGTCTCGTAGCGTTGTGATCGGAAAAGATACTTGATATAATTTCAATTTTCTTAAATTTACCAAGGCTTGATTTGTGCTCCGAGATATGATCTATTCTGGAGAATGTTCCATGAGCACTTGAGAAAAATGTGTATTCTGTTGTTTTTGGATGGAGTGTCCTATAAATATCAATTAAGTCCATCTTGTTTAATGTATCATTTAAAGCTTGGGTTTCCTTATTTATTTTCATTTTGGATGATCTGTCCATTGGTGAAAGTAGGGTGTTAAAGTCCCCAACTATGTATGTGTTACTGTCGATTTCCCCTTTTATGGCTGTTAGTTTTTGCGTGATGTATTGAGGTGCTCCTATGTTGGGTGCATAAATATTTACAATTGTTATATCTTCTTCTTGGATCGATCCCTTGATCATTATGTAGTGTCCTTCTTTGTCTCTTCTAATAGTCTTTATTTTAAAGTCTATTTTGTCTGATATGAGAATTGCTACTCCAGCTTTCTTTTGGTTTCCATTTGCATGGAATATCTTTTTCCATCCCCTTACTTTCAGTCTGTATGTGTCTCTAGGTCTGAAGTGGGTCTCTTGTAGACAGCATATATATGGGTCTTGTTTTTGTATCCATTCAGCCAATCTGTGTCTTTTGGTGGGAGCATTTAGTCCATTTACATTTAAGGTAATTATCGATATGTATGTTCCTATTCCCATTTTCTAAATTGTTTTGGGTTCGTTATTATAGGACTTTTCCTTTCTTGTGTTTCTTGCCTAGAGAAATTCCTTTAGCAGTTGTTGTAGAGCTGGTTTGGTGGTGCTGAACTCTCTCAGCTTTTGCTTGTCTGTAAAGGTTTTAATTTCTCCATGAAATCTGAATGAGATGCTCGCTGGGTGGAGTAATCTTGGTTGTAGGTTTTTCTCCATCACTTTCAATATGTCCTGCCAGTCCCTTCTGGCTTGCAGAGTTTCTGCTGAAAGATCAGCTGTTAACCTTATGGGGATTCCCTTGTGTGTTATTTTTCCCTTGCTTCTTTTAATATGCTTTCTTTGTGTTTAATTTTTGACAGTTTGATTAATATGTGTCTTGGCGTATTTCTCCTTGGATTTATCCTGTATGGGACTCTCTGTGCTTCCTGGACTTGATTAACGATTTCCTTTCCCATATTAGGGAAGTTTTCAACTATAATCTCTTCAAATATTTTCTCAGTCCCTTTCTTTTTCTCTTCTTCTTCTGGAACCCCTATAATTCGAATGTTGGTGCGTTTAATGTTGTCCCAGAGGTCTCTGAGACTGTCCTCAGTTCTTTTCGTTCTTTTTTCTTTATTCTGCTCTGCAGTAGTTATTTCCACTATTTTATCTTCCAGGTCACTTATCCCTTCTTCTGCCTCAGTTATTCTGCTGTTGATTCCCATCTAGAGTATTTTTCATTTCATTTATTGTGTTGTTCATCATTGTTTGTTTCATCTTTATTCTTCTAGGTCCTTGTTAACTGCTTCTTGCATTTTGTCCATTCTATTTCCAAGATTTTGGATCATCTTTACTATCATTATTCTGAACTCTTTTTCAGGTAGACTGCCTATTTCCTCTTCATTTGTTAGGTCTGGTGGGTTTTTATCTTGCTCCTTCATCTGCTGTGTGTTTTTCTGTCTTCTCATTTTGCTTATCTTACTGTGATTGGGTTCACCTTTTTGCAGGCTGCAAGTTCGTAGCTCCCGTTGTTTTTGATGTCTGTCTCCAGTGGCTAAGGTTGGTTCAGTGGGTTGTGTAGGCTTCCTGGTGGAGGGGACTAGTGGCTGTGTTGTGGTGTATGAGGCTAGATCTTGTCTCTCTAGTGGGCAGGTCCACGTCTGGTGGTGTGTTTTGGGGTGTCTGTGGACTTATTATGATTTTAGGCAGCCTCTCTGCTAGTGGGTGGGGTTGTGTTCCTGTTTTGCTATATGGTTGGCATAGGTTGTCCAGCACTGTAGCTTGCTGGTCGTTGAGTGAAGCTGGGTGCTGGTGTTGAGATGGAGATCTCTGGCCGTTTGATATTATGTGGAGCTGGGATGTGTCTTGTGGACCAGTGTCCTGAACTTGGCTCTCCCACCTCAGAGGCACAGCACTGACTCCTGGCTGCAGCACCAAGAGCCTTTCATCCACACGGCAAGTTCAGATTTTGTTGCCGCTTGATCTTTCATTCAGTCTTAAATTGTATCTGCTCTTTGAGGAGGGTCTCCTGTGGAGGCAGGAGTGGCTGTGTGTGGCTCAGTGCAGGGGCAAGGACACAGGCCTTTAAAATGTTTTTTATAAATAGTATCTTTTTCAAATTTTAGTTTCTACTAGTTGGCTGGTATTTAGAAATACAATTGATTTTTGTATTTTGAAATTGTATTCAGCAGCTTTGCTCATAACTTCATTTATCCTAATAGTTATAAGTTTGGAATATACCCCTAACGTAATGCATCTGAACACCAACGCATATTCAAGAATGTTCCTAAAACCCCAAACTTTTCATCATCAGGAGAATGGATTTTAACGTTCATTCAATGCAATACCCATAGCAATGCAAATATGGATGAATCTCAGAAACATAATATTGAGTCAAAGAAGCCAAAGAAGAGAACATACTGTATAATTCCATTTACATGAAGTTCAACATAGGAATAACTAGTCTGTGGTGATAAAAGTGCAAATAACAGTCACTTTGGGGGAGTACTGACTGGGAGAGGGTATGTGAGAGCCTGCTGTGGTGCTGGCAGTGTTTCACATCTTGTTGTGGATACGGTTACACGCGTGTGTTCACTTCAAAATTTCATTCTGGTCTAGGCTTAACATTTAGGTACTTTATGCATATTTTGTTTCAGAAGAAATTGGGCCGAATTCACCTGTTGAGTTTTTTTTTTAAATTAAGACTTTGTTTTTGAGCAGTTTGAGGTTTACAGACAAATTGAGCGAGAGGTACAGAGTTCCCATATATCCCCGCATGTCCCCCTTGCCCTCCTCCAGTTTCCTCTGTTATTAACATCTTGCATTAGTGGGGTATGTTTGTTACAGTCGATAAGCCAATATGTTGGCACATTCTCAGTTAGAAGCTACTAAATTAAGGAATTTTAGAATTGGCTGGAAAGGATCTTAGAGATGACTTGCCAGCCAACACAAGTTTACTGTGTCCCTAAAGCTTGATGGAAACAGAACTATAGCAGAATCTTAGAGACCTCACTTTTCATCGAATTTTTTGGCTACTGTACACATACATCAGCATTCCTACATATGGATTTCACCTAATGTATGCTTGAACAAAGCTAATTTAAGGAAATACTTTCAAGAGATATTAAATAAAACCATAGACGTTTTTGGTCTTTCTCCTCACTTTTTATCAAAGAGATATCTATTGTATATTCTGTGCTTAAGTTCAAAATCAGTTAAACTGTTTTAGAAAACGGGGTCTGTTTGTGTTAACCGCATCACAAGTGTACTAGGCAGCAAAGGCTAGAGTGGTTAGTAAACAACAGGTAATGTATGTATAAGTTTATGTTAAATTTGTGATTCAGTTTTTTCCTTGGAGAAAAGGGTTTATAAAATTTAAAAATTTCTGCCAAAGAGTTCATTGTTTTTTAATGTGAAATAGTGCACAATGATGGGCCAGTATATTGATGAAGTTCTTAAGGGTTCTTACCCAGAGAGCTCCCTTCATTTCACAGATTCTGCTGCTGTTATCAAGGTAGTACTTGCTGAGTGGTTACTCAGCCATTGTAAGGCTTTATGTGGATTAACTCATTTAGTCTTCCCACCAACCCTATGAGATAAATGTCATGATGGAAATTATTGAAGAAATATGTCTGTAATAAGCTGTTTGTGCCTACCGATGCCACCTGTCTTCCCTTCTATAATCACTATAATTACTGCTGTTAAATTGTCCCCTTGTTTTTTTTTTTTTTGTTTTTTTTTTTTGCGGTACACGGGCCTCTCACTGTTGTGGCCTCTCCCGTTGCGGAGCACAGGCTCCGGATGCGCAGGGTCAGCGGCCATGGCCCACGGGCCCAGCCCCTCTGCGGCATGTGGGATCTTCCTGGACCGGGGCACAAACCTGTGTCCCCTGCATCGGCAGGCGGACGGACTCTCAACCACTGCGCCACCAGGGAAGCCCTGTCCCCTTGTTTTATCCTCATGAAACCATCCCCAGTGCAACCATCAAGAAATCCTAATGTCTTCCAAGCAAGCGAGGAAGAAATCCTGTGAGAACTCAGAGATGCTCAAATTTGTTAAAGGAAAGAAGGTGGTTGTTCCAGCTGGCTTCTAAATATAGTCAGGCACACAAAAATGTTGCTGCTGATTGACAGAGAAGGAGATGCTTGTCAAGAAGTAGAATTTTCCAATGCTAAATGCAGTCTGGAACTCGTATTTCATTTATCTACATGCATATATGTAGATAAGTTTCTATACATGTAAAACCCTTTCAACAGTATCAGCTGCTTTGAACATAACACACGTGTACATAGTGGTAGGCGTTCTCTCATGTGAGCGTCCTTTGTTCTTCTAGTTCCGTCACCGGGGCAGCTTCAGCACAGAATCCACAGCGTGGGACATTTCCCAGTGTCTGTCCGGCAGCCTCTTAAAGCCACAGCCTACGTGAGTCCAACCGTTCAAGGCAGCAGTAACATGCCTTTATCCAACGGCTTACAGTTATACTCCAACACGGGGATCCCTGCCCCCAACAAAGCTGCAGCTTCTGGGATAGTGGGCCGCAGCGCACTCCCTAGACCTTCATTGGCAATAAATGGGAGTAACCTGCCTCGAAGCAAAATTGCACAGCCTGTCAGAAGGTAAGAACCTTTGCTCGTTCGTCTGCATGGCCTCGTTTGCAATCTGCACTTAGAAACTGCTCCGCGAACCATCCTGACTTTTCCTTCGTCTAACCCTGGTAGGTCACTCTGCCCCTTCTGGCCTGACTCGTGACCTCCTGCCTCTGCGTTCAATACCTTTTTAATCAATTTGTAATCAAAATGGGCAAAAATGTCATTAGGCACATGCACGTACACACCCTCCTCCAACTGTCATGATTTTAAAAGCATCTTAGTGATACTTAACTGGGGCTTTATTAGCTTATGTTGGTGTAAGGTTGGTATGTTCCAGGTAGAATTTTTTTTTTTCCCTTTGAAAATTCCAGCCTGCTTGCAGGGCACCTGATCGATGATCTTACGGTTGTGACGTGCCCTTCTTGAACTGGATCTCCTGGAGTGTCTTATGGTTAAAAGCAATTCCATAAAAGCGAGTTGAGGACAGAGTAGAAGATGAGAAAATGGAGTCAGTAAATCAGCTCTTACAGGATATTAGGATTTGGAGGAGGAGAGGGAGGGAACCATGGTAACAGTGTGAAAAGGATGTGAGAACAAGTAGTTTTTCTTTGTGCATCGGGTAGCTACAAATAGTTTTTACTTTCCGATAAATAGGTGCTCAGATCAAAAACAAATTCAGAAACTATTGTAAAACAAACACAGAAAAGTAAATAATCCTACTATCCAGATAGAAATCATTTTGGTGCATGTTTGTTCAATGCCAGGCTGTGTTGCAGTTCTGACTGAATAGAATCACATAATTTGATGTATGTAGGTCATTGTGGACAGTCATATATCTGAGGATAAATGGTCTTCAAACTAACCTCTTGGAAGGGCTGTCACTGCCAGACAATGAGAGGGTCTGTTTCCACAAACTTAGGCAAACATTGGGTATTATCATTCTTTTTTTTTTTTTTGCGGTACGCGGGCCTCTCACTGCTGCGGCCCCAGGCACAGGCTCAGCGGCCAGGGTTCACGGGCCCAGCCGCTCCGCAGCATGTGGGATCTTCCCGGACCGGGGCACGAACCCGTGTCCCCTGCATTGGCAGGCGGACTTTCAACCACTGTGCCACCAGGGAAAAAATATGGAATGCTTCACGAATTTGCGTGTCATCCTTGCGCAGGGGCCATGCTAATCTTCTCTGTATCGTTCCAATTTTAGTATATGTGCTGCCAAAGCGAGCACTATCATTCTTTTTAAATTCTCAGCCAATATAATAGGCAAATCTTTGATTATTTGTAAGACAGAATAACATGAAGAAATTTTTAATTTGTATTCAATGAAGTAACCACTTATGTTTTTGGGCCATTTTTCTCCTGAGTTTATCTGTTTCTGATTTTAAAATATTCTTTATCCACTAAGGGTATTGATCATTTTCCACTTAGGTTGCAAATCTGCTTGTGCACACACAACATGCATGGCAGCGTGCCAAGAACTGGGCTTTCCATCAGATGAGCATGTTTGAAGGCCCAGAAATACAAGGCACACTTGGGAAGGTGCCAGCATGTTGTCACTGCTGGAGTGGCGGAGAGTAGATCAAAGTAAGTGATGGGACTCGTGGGATTACTTACAAGCCGTGTCCTTTTTTCATTCCTTTATAGTTTCCTTCAGCCTCCAAAGCCTCTGTCTTCACTCAGCACTCTGAGGGATGGAAACTGGAGAGATGGTTGCTACTGATGCAGTTCTGTGTACGTTTGAACAGCTGGAAAGAAGTGGAAATGAGGGTCGTGTTACCTAGCTGGCTGGGTAACAGTGGGTGTCGGGATATTCTTTCCCTTCTGCGTTTTAACATATTTACTGCATTGTTTTTCAATGGACCAATCACCAGAGACTAATTATTGCACTTAAATATTTGCCTGAGATACTGCAGCGTTCACGAATCCATGGTTGCAGTATTGTGACACTTAGAGCTAGGAAGTTTTTGTAGAACTGATATGTACCTGAATCCTTTTTGAGAGAATTGAGATGTATCCATAATGCTTTCTTTGCCATCTGAGTTTCTTAAAGTAACCTGTTCAATTTACTTACATGTTCTAAACATCTTCCCATTATATGTTCTGTATTTTAATACACTGCATCTTTACAACCAGGTTCTATAACGTATGCTTTGAAATTCACTTTTTTATAGTTTACAGGAATTTTATTTTTTGTGCCTATTTCTTTTTACACCTATGTGAACCACTATGGAACAACTTAAATTTTGTGCCATAAAGATATTTTTGTGGTAAGGTACTATTTTTTTAGCTCTAGGGATATATCAGCAAAAATCCATCATAACAATTTGAGAGACATAAAATTATGTTGAATGAGCACAATGTAATCTGAAGCATTGAACACTGAGACAGCCAGACAACAGAGTGAAATGGTCTTGTTGTTTTCATTGTTAATTTATTGTCATACGTGGGTTTCATATTTATAATGGCATCACAAGCTCATTGCACTTAATACCTGCAATGTTTGCTAGTGTACTACAATTGATTTTCAATACTTTTACAGAAGATGAAACTGTAACATTTTATTAATAATGCTTCTGGAAATGAACGCATTTTAAAGCAAATAAATCTTTTTGATAGACCTTTTACAGAATCCATTTGCACTAATGAATGCTTTCTTATGGTATATGACTTAAGATTTATTACTGTGTACACTGCTGTTTTGGAATGTTCAGAAATAAAGACTATTTCAGCAGTATCAGGTCACGCATGAATGTGCAGCATAAACAGTACGTTTCACCACGACTGTGAAAGTGTTGTCATTGTTATGCTCTTGTACAGAGCAGTTATACCTGAGGCGGGTAGGCAGAATATTCGCATTTGTAAACAATTCTCTCTCTCTAAAACGCTTGGGATAAGAGATGTGAGGTTTTAGCTCTGCAGTGGGGTTTCGGTACCACTTAGGATGGTCGCTAGAACCCAAGGAGCCTCTTGCCCAGAAACCCATTTGTGGATGAGTACTGTCAGTGGAGATTCCAATATTTTATGGGGGTTGAACTTGAAGTATTTCTTTTCTCAATGACAGCAAAATAGCAAAGTACTATCATTGGTCTGCACTATATTTGATGTACATTGGAAAACTTTTCACCTCAAGTTGCTATGGAAAGGTTAGGTAAAAGGTTTCAATGTTAAGTTTTAAAACAGAGTTCTCCTGAAGGTCATTAGGGATTTTTATTTTTAAGAAATGTGCCTTTCTACATAGTTCCATGGGGAACTAAAAGACTGGCTTTTAATTAGCCTGTCCTTTAAATGAAATGTGGGCTAGAGGAGGTGAGGTATCAAAGGAGAAGTGATACTTATTGAGCACTTTGTTAGTGACAAGCACTTTGTTAGTCACTTTGCTAGTGACTGTGCTAGAAATTTTTTATATATTTGTCTAATTTTTAACAATCACCTCCTATTACCACCATTTAAAAAATAAAGACCCTGAGCCCAAGGGATGTGATATTAACCTAGTGTAAACATCTAGCTAGTAAATAGTGAAGCTGACTTTTGAATCTAGGTGTGTCTGATCTCAAAAGTCTGTTTTTGCCACTACTGTGCTCTTCCTATGAACATATGTAGTTCAGTTAGTACATTTTTTAAAAATGAGTTTATATTCTGCTGAGAAGGTGAAAGGATTCAACTCATTTGCAAATCAAGTATTTCATTTATATTCAAAAAAGTCTTTTCAGCCCTTGGAATAAAAACCAAAGATCCCTGTATCTTGGAATTTACATTCTAGTTAGGAGAGAGACAGTAAACCACATACAAGTAAGTAAATCACAGTACATTAGGTCTTAAGTGCTATGGCAAAAAAAGAAAAGGAGATGAAAGTAAGGGGGAAGGTGAGAAAACGGAGATGGGGAGAGATCACAGTATTAAGTAGGATCATCTGGGTAGATCTCACTAAGAAGGTGACACCTGAACAAAGAAAAATGGTGTTGGTGATTATTTTCACAGTTCTCCCCAGGATGGTATGTAACATTTATTCTAGATGCATAGAAGAGAATTTAATATATTGCATCAATAGATGCTCTAGGGTATGGTCCGCACATCAGCAGCATCAGCATCTCTTGGAAACTTATTAGAAAATGCAGATCCTCAGGCTCACCCCACACCTATTGAATCAGCCCTCTAGGTGATTTACAGAGCCCCCTTTGAGAAAAGCTGCTGGAAAGGAGGGAGCAGCCTAGGCAAAGGCTTAGGGCAGAGCGTGCCTGGGGTGTCTGAGGAAGAGCAAGGAGGCCATTGTGGCTGCAAGCAGAGGGAACAAGGAGGGAAGCAGTAGAGATGAGATCCAAAGGGAGACAGGGAAAGATCACATAGGGCATGTGGGCCACAATAAGGCTTTGATTTTACTCTGGAAATGGGAGCTATTCATGGTTTTGAGCAGCAGAGTTTATGATTTGACTTTTTAAAAGCATCACTCGCATTTGGTGAGAATAGACTCAAGATAAGAAATGAAGATGCCGTGAAGGTGACAGGATAGCAATGGAGGAGACAGAAATGGTCAGATTCAGGCTGTCTTCTAAAACTACAGCTATTAGGATTTCTTTATGGATTGGATATACTGTGTTTGTTAGAGACCAAAAGAAAAACTCCAGGTGTTTTGGGCTGGCAACTAAAAGGATGGAGTTCCTCCAACAGAAATGGGGAAGCTGTGGGTGGAGTAGGCTGGAAAACCATGATTCTGGCTGAGCTCAGTTATGCTCTGTAGGGAGTTCCCTGGCAGTCCAGTGGCTAGGACTCGGTGCTTTCACTGCCGGGGCCTGGGTTCGATCCCTGGTTAGGGAACTAGGATCCCATAAGCCACGTGACACATTCCAAAAAAAAAAAACCAGTTACGCCCTCTATCTCGTGCATTTCTCACACTGTAACAAACCAGGACTCATACAGGAAAAGGGATCCTGAGATGCTTAGTTCTGCAACATGAAAGGGAACTATGGTGCTGAGTTAACACAGACAGTCTAGCCTGGCTGACATTTGTATTAGTTAGCTATTGCTGCATAACAAGTTACTACAAAACTAAGTGGCTTAAAACATTATTATCTCAATTTCTATGGGTCTGGAACCTGGCCACAGCCTAGCTGGGTCCTCTGGCTCAGGGTTTCTCACAAGGCTGCAGTCATCCTGAGACTCACTAGGGAAGAAGCTGCTTCCAAGATCACTCACGTGATTGTTGGGACGATTCATTTCCTTGTGTGCTATTGACCAGGAGGTACCATTGCTTTCTTGCCACATGGACCTCTCCTTGGGCAGCTTACAACATAGTGGCTTGCTTCATCAGAATGAGCACGAGAGAGAGAGAGAGAGAGACAGAGAGAGAGAGAGGGAGAGAGACAGAGAGAGAGAGTGGGAGAGAGAGAGAGAGAGAGATTGGGAAAGGGAGAGCATGAGCCAGAAAGCTGGAAATTTTTCTGTTGTAACTTAATTTTTAGAAGTGACGGCTCATCGTTTTTGCCATGTTTTATTCATTGGAAGCAAGTCACTATGTCCAGCCCTCATTTAAGGGGAGGGGATTACACAAAAATGTTAATGCCAGGAGACAAGGGTCATTGGGGCCATCCTAGAAGCTGCCTGCAAAACACTGCCAACCACTTTACTTGATAATGCCACCCTAATTTCCCATTAGTTGTATTACTACTGTACATGTTTGCCAGGAGACTATGAGAATTCCTGTTACTACACATATTTGGTATTGTTAAAACATCTTTAACTTTTAAGTCTGTGGGTATCTAGTTGTGTCTCATGGTCTTAATTTTCATTTCCTTGGTTGTAGTGAGATAGAATACCTTTGCATTTGTTTATTGAACATTTGCGTATCATCTTTTATGGATTCCTGTTCAGGTCTTTTGTCCATTTTTCTATTGGGGTTTCCTTACTGATTTGTAGTAGTTATTTATATAGTCTGCTACAAGCCTTTTGTCAGTTATATGTGTTAAAACTATATCTTCACACTGTGTAGCTTACCTTTTAATTCTTTTACTGAGGTATTATGTTAGAATTATTAATTTTAACATAGTACATATTTACCAGTTTTTTAAAGATTATTCATTTTGTGTCTTGTTTAAAGAGTATTTCCTGACCCTGGAATCGTGAATATAATCTCAACGTTTTATTATTTTGCTTTTCACCTATATTTTATATTGCTCATGTGGATTTATAGTTGTCCTAGTAACACTTACTGAAAACTTTGTCCTTACCTCACTGTTCTTTGTCATAATCAATGTCTTTGTGTGCGTGTCTATTTCAGAACTGTCTATTCCTGTGCCAGAAACATACTGTTTTAATCTCTATAGACTTATAATTACATTTTGCTAAATAGAGTAGTTTTGCTGTCTTTTCCTTCAAGAGTGTCATAGATATTCTTGTCCCTTTGCATTTCCATATGTATTTTTAAACAAACTAGCCAGAAAAACATCCTGATGGAATTTTGATTGGATTGCATTTAATTTATAATTCAATATGTTGGAAATTGACTTTACATACTGAGTCTTAAAAATCCATGAACATGGTCTACCTCTTCTTTTATTGATTGAGGTATCCTTTCATCTCTCTCAATAAAATTGTGCAAGTTCTTCCCAGAGGACTGAAATGCCTTTTGCAAGATTAATTTCTAGGTATGTGATACTTTTTTATGCTATGTGATACTTATGACATTTTAAAAATTTCATTTCAAATGTTTTATTCAACCACCTTAAATTTATGTTAGTTATGTTAATTTATATTTAGAATCTTTATATACACAGTCAAAATGTATGAATGTTAGATTTCTTTCTTCCCTATCCTATATCTTTTCTTTCTTTTTCTTGCCTGTGGTCTTCAATGCAGTAGTAAATATAAATGATAATAGATATCTATCTCTTTGCTAATTCAAAAGGAAAGCTTTCTCTTTTCTTACCATTAGGTTTCAAATTTGCTAACAGTATTTTATCATAAAATAATGTGAATTTTAAACAAACTTTCTGCATCTATTAAAATAAGACTCTCATTTAATCTGTTAATATGCTGACTTTATAATGGATTTTTCTAATGTTGACTCAACCTTGAATTATTGAGATAAATCCAACTTGGTCATGATGCATTACTCCTTTTTAAAATTGATTGATTTCATTTACTAATATTTTAACTTAGGAGTTTTGTCCAATTTTTGAATAAAATTGGTTTATAATTTTTCTTTCTCAAACTGTCCCTATTAGGTTTTGGAATGAAGACAGTATTAGTCTCATAAAATGAATTGGGGAGTACTATGTGTTTTTCTAGCTGGGAGGACTTATGTAATATTGGAGTTATTTCTCCCTTAAATATGTGATAAATCTCACTGGTAAAGCCACTGGGGCCTGGAGTCCAGTCAAGTCATGTTTTTAAAATCTGATGTTGTGTTTATTCTGCTTCCAGAAGCATGATTAAACCTCCTACTTTATTGGTGGCTTATCTATACACTCCTCTTCATAGTTCTATCAAATTTTGCTTTGTCTTTTTAGGCCACATGATTTGGTGTATACATATTTAAATATCTTTTATCTTCCTGGCAAAGTAAACCTGTTATCATGGAACTAGTCTTCTTTATCTTTCTTTTTAATGTCTTAAAAAATCTATTTTTCAGATATTAAATAGCTACATATTTCTTTTAGTGTTTATATGATACATATTTTTAAACCTTTGCTTTCAAATTTTATTCTTGTGTTAAACAACATACAGTTCGGGTTTTTT